AGTCTAGTTGTTGATTCGGACTACCCTGATGATATCGCCTTGCTAGGTGGCAGTCCACAGGTCATCCAACTTGCACTTAACCGCTTGGCGATAAAAGCGTCAAAGTATGGAATGCACATTTCCCCATCCAAGTGCAAAGATCTCTTTCAGGACTGGCAGTCCCCTTTATCTACACTCACTCTTGGCGGTGATATACTGGAGGTTGTGAAGTGTTTCGCCTACCAAGGAAGCTGCACCACTGCTGATGCAGCTGTTGGAGATTATTTCGATTCGTATCTCAAGAGCTCGTCTCGCTTTGTCTGATCAGGAGAACTTCTGTCCCCGCCATGACATCCGTCTATCCATCAAAGTGCGAGTTTCTTTTGCTATTATCCGCGCTGTATTGTTGTACGGTTGCGAGACTTGGCCTGTTCGTACCTTTTACCTGATCTGCGCCGGCTGTCTGTCTTATAGTATCGGTGCTTGTTTTCCATAGGAGTGTAGATGTTAGATTACTTGTTTTAGATGGAAGCAGCCGCCCTCGTGAGGAGGTCGTCTCTCACTGAAGCTATGACTCAAGAGCGATGTTTGTGGCGGACGTAGAAATACATGTTGCGGTGATTCCCATTCCATCCCTAAATAAACCAAAGTATCGAATTGCTCAAATACTGTGTGAATTGGATGCTAGACAAAACAGTCACTTTTATTTGCTTATTCCAACCTTATATTCCCGTTTTGCTACGATACTGTATACGATATATATATATATATATATATATATATATATATATATATATATATATATATATATATATATATATATATATATATATATATATATATATATATATATATATATATATATACTGAGGCTGATGTTGCATTCTTGATGCTTCTTCACCACAGTTGCGCTAAACCAGCTTACACTTAAACTAGGTCTTTTTAAGCTGGATCAGTTTTATTTCACTTTATTTGCTTTGTTCTGCCCATTTGAATAATCTTCTATTAGCTGGCCACGGTGCTTACGGTAATTGCACTTATCTTCGGTAACTTTGTTGCGTTTGTAGCATTTTTAAGTAACTTGTGGACATTTCTTACTTATCGCGGCTTCGTTGCTAACCAACTTACTTCTTATGTTAATTTAGCGAAGAGCTGTGCCACTGTATCTGTATACATTATTGGATTTATTTTATTTCATCTTGTCGTTTCAAGTGAATGGCTGTTGCTTGATATCCCCTATTTGGCTGCGCTTGATGTACATGTTGACAAGGTGCCTACCTGTCTTTTACCCACTACATCGTTCATACTGGCTCCAGGAGACAGTTGGTCGTTGCTGGAGGGGACGGGGTGCACGGTCCTTGTGGTCGTGCTAGGCTCGAACAGCGGTTCCATGCACTCAGTGTGGATCGGACTACGGTCCAGCCACCGCCTTGTGTGCGGTTGATTCCCCATATACAGCGTGCTTGTGTTTGCCTGTGAAGGAGTGTGGGCCGACTCCGTTGATGAAACGTGGCTTCCATCCGCATGCCTCCCGTTCTTATTCCTTCGGGTTTACACTGGATATGGGGTGTGTGGATGAAGCTGTGGGTGGTGCAGCGCAAGTCACCTATGATCTCTCTGTAGGCGCAGGCGTCCTGTGGCTTGCCACAGTGACAGGCAAATCCGAAACCGGATGCCGCCAACCATATATATATATATATATATATATATATATATATATATATATATATATATATATCATGTTGTTCCTATGTACCATCGCGATGAGACTGGACCTTAAGGCGGTACGATGGTTTGAATGCCTCAGAGATCCATTGGACTGTGTTGGGTGATGCTTTTGCATCTTCAGAGCCACTCATACCAGTTTGTTCAATGGCTAGAGACCTGACAAACTCAGGCTCCTGGACCTCCAAGTTGGTACTTGGAGTGAGGATGGCTCCTCACTCCATAAAATGGACTCTGTAGCCCAGTGCCAAAATCGCGCTCTCTTGCGTTCAGGTTTTTGAACCAAATGCTTTGGTTGAGAACCATAATCGTTCTCCTGTCTAAGCCTGGGCAACCTGACAGTATCCTGCCCAACGTAATACAACATTACGACTTCTGCTTCAACTAATCTCTTGATGCTCTGGCCGCTGCAAGGAATAATAACCGGCGCCGTATCTGTTGCATCGAGCAGGGTGGATAGGGGGTTTTGATGCTATTGTTTAAGTCTTTCCGTCTTCTTATTCCCCCACTTGCGCTTTTTCATCCTCATTGTCCCGTCCCAACTTTACTTTTATCCCCTCCATTTTCAATCCCTTAATTCTTGGCCCTCCCCCATCTTTGTTCAGTAATCGTTCGTCTTCTAATTTCGATTCACACGCAGTCGCAGGGCGTCGCTCCGGTCCAGTCGGTAAGTTCATGTCCAGCCAAACGGACAACGTCAGTCCATATTTGCTTGCTTACACTAACCGACATAGCGAAGAATCGGCCACTGTGGCGTTTGGGTTGTGGGTCTGTTTGTCCCTCCCCTTCCCTTTAGTTTCCCCTCCAACAACCATCAAAAATGTGGTATTCGCATTACGTTATTTTTTATAACTTTTAAGTATACATTGCTTAATGTCTTACTTTTATGTAAAGCGGCACATTATCTGATGTGTGTCACACCCTCAGCTAACATGTATTGGTGATGATGGATATTACTATGTAAACGGATATTGGGTGTTGCCCGCCCGAACAACTACACTCCACGACTGCTTTCGGACTTGTTTGACCTCATCAGATTCAGATTACATGCACTCGAACTCGGGTCTTTCGGGATATCCGTCGAAACCTTTACTACTAAGCCACCGAGTCGCAGCGGGCAATGCTTGTCACAACGGTTTATTGTTGATTGGCGCGGTCATTTCGGAGCACCGATACTTATCTGCTTAGTCACTTATGGCCCAAGTGATCCAATAGGCGGAATTTCGCTTCAATGCGAACCACGGTACACATTGTTCTTGCGCGTCACAATTCATACGCACGAGTGTTTCAAAACGACCCTTTTAACCACCCTTCCATTGCATTCAGAGCACGTCCTAGGTGAACAAACGTTCTTCACAGATAGTATCCCACGCGCGCAGAGTAGCCAGTTAGATTCGGAACGTTGCACGCTAACCTGATCTAGCCGCCCGACTACACGCGAGCTGAGACTGGAAACGAATCGCGTATCCCAGGACGAGTGTACTGAGACCCGAACGAGAAACAAATATTGGTCGTTAGTCAGGGTTCCTTTGCTGATTCAGCCAAGGCGAAGCATGCCTTTTATGCCTTCATTTTTATGGCTCAATTGAATCACAGTTTAATGCATAAACTATAGGGAAACTTGGACGTTGGCAAGGCACTTGAGTTGTCGCCAAATGATGGTGTTCTGAGTGAATCTCAGTGTCATTGTAAGTTTGCGCGGTAACTGCTGCAGCAACTGAGGAGCTCAAGTTGTTCACTGCGGCTTGATACGATAGCTACAGTAGTGTCATGAGGAGAGTTCAGTGGGTTCACTGTAGCGTACACAGTTGATGCATTACTGTCCTGACTGGAGCTTAGTTGGTTCTTTTTGGCTTGACATCTATGTCCCCGCGGATGGCTTGGTTTCTACTAACGCTGTCTGGGTCGTCGCATGACGATTATATGTCAGGTGAACCCGGCGGAATGTGCAAGCTTTCGCGGAGCTATGCGAGCTCCGTGAGCTTATTCCAGATGGTAACGCTTAGAGGGAAATCTGCTGGGCGTGACGGGAAACTGATCCGTCCTCGAACCCGCGTGTGCAACTATAAGGAGAAACGTCTGGTAAAACAATTCCTCTGAACCACTGGTTTCTGATCACTTGAACCTAGTCGCTACACTCGATTGGATCCGTCGCAGACTATTTCTTGAAACCAATACACACCCTCCGTCCATACTGAAAGGCTTCTTGTGGTAAGTTTAGCTGATTTGGAGTGAAAGTTGTCCATCTTCATCGCGCTTCCAGTAAAAGGACCGCTTGGAAGTCGTTGTTGTAGTGTATAGCCCTTCAGAAACGTGTAACCGCGGTGAGCTACCGATGAACAACGAAGAACTTGGTTCTACCTTCACAGCAAAGCACAACGCATCAACGAACAGCGAAGATTTCGTGTCCACTAGACTTTATGTGTCACTAGTAATCGATTTAAACAGATCGAGTGGTCCCTACACTGAAAATTAACGGGTCAAAGGATCCAGAGGATCGGTATGTTTCACATCCCATGCTACTCCACATCACTTTTCACACTTTACCGAGAGGATGACTTGTTCTCCTATCTGAAATTGTTAGGATAAATGTAATCTTTAGATTAGAAAGAATATAATCTGTTGTATTTGTCTTATCTCACTCGTTGTTCATGGTCGAATTTTGCGTCGGTTAGGTTGCGATCTCTATACCAGGTAAACAATTACGTAGCGGTGTTATCTCACCGAAGTGACCGTCTGATTTTTCACGATGCTTTGGATAAAACGCATGGGGAATTATACTAATTGGTGGTTTAGTTAGGTAAGTATCTTTTTCATTGATTGAAAGCCTTAAGCTCGGTAACAAACGTGGTTAGAAACCTTATCTAACATGTCGTTGTCGCGAAGCCAGTGGTGCTCTCGTATTTGGACTTCTTCTAGTTGCTTTCTCCTCAATCCAATATTCACAGCTCTTCCTCATTTCTTTTTACTGTTAATTTGCATATTTTTCATGCCCTTTCCTTTAATTCTCCACGCTCCACTTATTATTATTATTATTATTATTATTATTATTATTATTTCTCTGTCGTTACTTAAGCGACCACTCTAATGATCACTGTTTATCTACTAGATGCGGCTACACTTCTCGGCTCTTCCGATCGATTGTCGTGTATGCATCTCAGTTCATTACAACACTGAACCACGTTTTTATTAGCAAATTCTCAAACATGTACCATGTGGATGCCTATAGTACGCTTTCTCATGTATAAATCGAAAAGCTAAACATCATTGCGATGGAACTTTTTCACTCATTTCAGGCTGAAATGGAGGATCGACGTGTGGCTGATCAAAGAGATTATTGGCTTATTCAATATCAAAAGCTTTTGGATCATTTGTCTTCGGAATCCCCAGCTGAGGTAGGTTGATGTGGCGAATTTTGCCTTCGTACCATTTGTCATCCAATCGACCAACACTTCCTCGCATTCGTCATTGGACTTCCTCACCAATCCTTTTTTAGCGTCCAATTGCACTTCCGTCCCAATTGCTAATCTTCTTCAATTGAATGAATCCTTACAAAGTGATATGCCTTCAGAGAATCTCTTTTGTCTGCGGCTCTCATCATAGCATATTTATGTTCGATATTGCGCTACATGTCTGGCTTTGCTGCACCTGAAGACATGGATGAAGTTTGGTATGCTGCTCCAACTCAGGTATCATTCATAATAGCTCCATCAACTATTATGACTTTAAACAACGCTGTGAGAAGACGAAAGCTGAGAGGATTGTCCTGTTTTCCGAGCTGGGCATTTCTGTTGCAGACGTTTCGTTACCAAACTAGACAACATCTTCAGTGCGGCTATTCAGTCCTGATTCGCGGAGTCTCGCAAACCAATGTCAGATCCGAGTGACTATTGATGGTTGCCTGCTTCGAATGTCAGCCTCCGATCGGTTCACGTGAGTCGGTCGAGTAGGCACCTATTCTCCTTGTTGATCTGGCGCCTAATGCTGCCCTAACCTGCAGAGCTTCATAGAAACCCTCCAGCTCCAGATGTTCGTTGATTGAGTTCCGACCAGAATGCCAAGCCTGGAGGAACTCACGCGCTCTGCGGTTTCTTGCTCTTCCAACTATTTCAACGTTCTCCAGATCGAACTCATGGTTCTCGGTATCCATGTGTACTGATATTAAGGATTTCTCATCGTGGCGGCGGATGCCCAGACTATGTTCGTACAGTCTTGTGCCAAGTTTTCTTCCAGTCTGGCCAACATAGTACTTGTCACACCCCGAGCTACAGGTATTCTCATTAATTTCCAAAGACGAAAGCTGGCAGTTGTTAACATTTCGTATTGTCTCGTCAGTGCCAATACAGTAACAGGAAATTACATATAGCTATAGCTAACGTGTGACCATATGAAATAGAGACAGGATGGGGTACGGATATGCCACCCCTTACAAACAACTGTTTTTTGCACACAGAGTGCCGGTTTGATCCTGCTGATCGCGACAGCCTCGACGAAATGTAGGATGCGGGTGTTAGCATGTCTCAACAAGATTGTGAACTATGTGGTTGGGTCGAATAGATGACAACTAGGCTGTGTGCAAAAACAGTTGTTCGTAAGCTTATGGCTCCCATGTTTAAAATGCTCAAGGAAACTAATTGTTTCAAATTTCTTAAATAACGAATTCCCATTGATTCAGTCAGGCAACTAGACCGTATAGTTAGTCTGCGATGCAAAATTGCATGCTGCCGTGTGGAACTATCTTTGCTTTCTAACTGCATCGCCCTGCGTCAGTACCCACGTTCGAGTTTAAAACTACTGCGTAAAACAAACTCAAGCCGTACCATGGCAATTTCAGACGCATTGTCTCCGCTCAAATAGAAATGGCCCAAACGAGACTTACTAGATTACTTGAAACGCATATGCGCTTGATATCCGTTACGGATGACATATCTTTGTGCTGCAATATAGTGTTCTACTTATTTCTGCAAAGATACCATCCACTGTACCGAGGAGAAATGCAGAAATCGCTTACAGAACTCATTGGTAGATAACCAAGAGACCATTTCTCGTGACCCTAATGAGCATGTGTTGAACCTGTCAAACGTTCCGTTGGATAACTTACAATTGGGCACATTGTCGCTCGGATTGGATTGTAACATTCCTACTGGTAAGCTAGACCGTTTGTTAATAGAGGCCCAGTTCGAGAATGTCTTTGATCAGTTAACAGACCTCCAGCCGGATAGTGCAGATAAACTTAGCTGGTTTAAAAACAAATGAGCTGATATTGCTCATGAGTTCATGTTGACCCCATTGAAGGAAGGATGTGCACTTACAAAACGTCATCTTCATGCACTTCGAGAGCTGAAGACCAAATATGTACTGGTACTTAGACCGGACAAGGGCTCCGGAGCCATTGTTATGAATACTGTGGATTACGTACAAAAGATGCAAGTTATAGTGAATGAGGACAGCTAATTTAACGTCTCAAAAGAGTGGACGATATTTGCGACGTAGAAGGTCGCATCACAACTCACCTAAAAGTACTTCTTGACCATCGAACGATCGACGAGAGGACGTATAATAGCCTAAAACCGAGTGGGTCCACTAGGCCTCAAATGTACGGGTTACCGAAGACTCATAAGAGTGGTACACCCCGCGGACCAATTCTATCAATCGTAAATTCCCCGCAACACAAGCTTGCTCGCTAGGTTGTGGACATGCTTACACCGTTAAAGAAGCATGCTATTCCACACAGTATCAAGGACTCTCTTGAATTCATGGAAATTCTTGACAGCACATATTCGTCAGATGTTGTCATGTGTTCATTAGATGTACAATCGTTGTTTACAAATGTTCCACTATGTGAGACCATTGAGTGTGTGTGTGTGTGTGAGAGGTGGCGGAACATTCCTGATTATCACTTCCAATATCAACTGAGCTGCTGAAAGACACCCTATTATTTTGCACTGAAAGTATCAATTCCCACTCCCGAAACACCCCATAACGCCAGATAGATGGTGGAGCAATGAGGAGTATATTGGGTCAAGTATTAACGGATTTCTTCATGTCCATGGTGGAGAGAAGGACGAGTGTAGGAATTTTCTGCGTTTACTACTAGAAACGCTACGTGGACGAGATCTTAGTGTTCTCGTCAACAACAGAGATTACCCGTCTTGTCGAAGTTTTTAATAGTGTGCATACAAATTTGAGAGTAATCAGTGAAGTCGAATGTAACAGCCATCTCCCATTTTTGGACGTACTGATTAGTCGTAGTGGAAACGGTCTCATCAAACGATCTGTTTACCGAAAAGTGACATGGTCCGGGCAGCACCTGCCCTCCAATGCGGTACCAGCGGACACTAGTCAAGACCTCGCGCAAGAAGATTATGCAGCCCTGATTGACTGAAAGAGAAACAAGAGCTGTTGACTAATGCGCTCTTGAAAAACGGTTATCCTCGCCGGTTTATCGTATAACATAGCCAGACGAGAGTGGTGTGATAGATAGTCCCCATTGTGACCAATAAGAAGATCTTTATAGAACTACCGTTTAAAGGTGATCTTGACACCATGAGGACAACCAAGCGATTAATTTCCGCTGTTCATAGGACTTATTATGCTGCCGAAGCTGTCCTTATTAATCGAACCAACAAAGTGCTTGTTCCCCCAACGAAGGAAAGACAACGTGTCAGCGCCATTTCACACTGCATTTGCCAAATCACTTGTAGCTGCGAGTCACGCTACATAGGCCGTACTGAGAGAATGTTGAATTCCAGAGTAAGTGGGTGCAGCGTGAAATTATCTAGTCTTCCACTTCGTCTACCACTTATTCACGAAAGCCACCTCCCTCATCCATAGATAGAAACTTATTGTCTACTTGTCATCCATTCGACCCTACCACACAGTTCACAATCTTGTTGATACCTGCTAACACCCACATCCTACATTTCATCGAGGCTGTCGCGATCAGCAGGATCAAACTGGCACTGTATGCAAATACACTTGTTTGTATAGGATGGCATATCCTATCCACCGTGTCTCTATTGTATCCGGTCGCACTCTCGCTATAGATATATGTAGTTTCTTGTTACTGTATTGGCACTGACGAGAGAATACGAAATGTTAACGACTGCCAGCTTTCGTCTTCTCACAGCGTTGTTTAAAATGCTCAATTTAACTAATTGTTTCAAATTCCTTGAAGTACGAATTCCGGTTATAACTTTGTTCAAGAGCAGCAATGGTAATGATCATGGATAAGATTATTAATTCACCTAATACTATTTTCAAGACTCCACAAAGCATCGGTCTTCTTCTTTACGTATGCTGCTTATCATGTGTCACCGGTGCTGTTGGCTTTGGCACTACATGCCGCGCGGTCTTCGGTAGCGTTATTTCATATACTTGCATAGGTTCCACCAGTTTGTCAACCGTGTCGTTGAACATTTTTGGAAAGAATCACTAGGGAATTATGCTGTCAAATTACATGTCCTCTGTTCACACGGTACCTAACTCCGAGTTTGCTCCATTTGTTCTATTTGTTTCAGATATCAGGTGAAAAATTAACTACCACTGTGTTTATAGCGACCACCTGTTCACTAGTTAGCGCAACCTCTAACCAGTTCTAAGTGGGCCTGTTTAACAAATTCCCATCGTTAAGCAGCGGAGCATTAGTGCTATATATATTTATAGCTTCAAATCGTTTTTTCTTTCTATTTCAATAACCCTACTTACCGGTACTCGTTTGGGCTTTTCGTCGAATCACTCCGTCATGATCAGCCGGGTCTCCTTGCTACGAATGCCCGATTGTACCGCCTTTGGTGTTGACGTTAGATCAAGCCGCAACATATTGGACTTCATTGACGCTTACGATGGCATTCAAGAGAGCGAATTAGTTGCCGTTGCTTTACCGATGCCTGCTGTCGTCAACCGCACATCCTGATAAACCTCATACACACAACAGTTGCCGTCATGCACGCTGACGCTTAGCGTTTCCGATTTCCCCCTCACATCCGCCTTGTGATACGGTCGAACGTTAAGTGGTTGTCGATTGACTAATGATGGTGCTTTCTAATCTGCTAATCATCTATGGACAGAGGATCGACTATTTGGTCTTGTGGAAACCATATAGATCCTACAACCATTTGTATTAAAAGATATCAGTTGTGCATGCCATCTTCCCTTCTGCATTTAAACTGAAGTCTCTTATTTGGTAAATTTCATCTGTTTTGTCACACCTTTACGATTTTTCTTAGTGATTTCCTTTTCATCAACTCCCGCTTTCCTGTGTACAAATAATTCACCAAAATAATGTTATCACACCAGATCCAGAAAGAAGCCGTTTTCACTGTTCTCCCTCTTCCTCGTTTCAGCTGGACTCGGATGTCTATGAGGTGTTGGTGGCTTCCGCCGGTCTGCATTACGTACCCAATTTTCGATACCATCGAATAAATTTCTCCGCACTGTGCTCAATGACGGATGAAGATCTACAGAGGGTATATCACTTAACGATTCATTCCCCAGTAATCTGCCATTTGGAGCTACCAGTGGCGTGTTTCTCCTCCGTATTTTCGGTTAACTGGTTTTGTTTGGTGAGATTCTCCTAAGTTCACATGTGTGCGAGCATTCCACTTGGTTTGGTATCCGAACGATAATGAACGGTCGTTCGGTCGCACATGCTCGCTATTCCTTGGTATTTACCGAGGTTTTCTGGCGATAGTTGGCTTTACAGTTTGACTATGAGGGTGTTTCTTTCTTCTTGTACTCTCACGGGGTTTCCTCGTTTGATGGCGAGATGTTTGCATTCAATTTGCCAAGCTCGGTTTGGCATCAACATTGTGTGTCATCGCTAGTCACGTGTGCAGCAAATTACTAGTTTTCGTTTTCAGTCAGCGTCAGCTACTGAGGTACTGCCAGTAGTCTCTGAAAAATATGAATCTACCGCAACCAAATTATTAGTAATTTTTTGCTTCTTTCATTTCACTTACTTTTTCCTACGACCTTAAGGTCACTTCTACCACAGTAAACAATTGTTACAGGCCAATCAAACTCAGCACCGTGATCTCCCATGTTTGGAGATTGGAACTAGGCTCTGCCGGTGGAAACGGTCATTTTGTGGAATGCCACGCAGTCGAACTTTTCAGCTTTGGTTCAGGAGCTCTCCGTGCGTTTATGTACCGATGGTTTTACCCCCCCCCCCCCCCCCCCCCCCCCCCCCCCCCCCCCCCCCCCCCCCCCCCCCCCCCCCCCCCCCCCCCCCCCCCCCCCCCCCCCCCCCCCCCCCCCCCCCCCCCCCCCCCCCCCCCCCCCCCCCCCCCCCCCCCCCCCCCCCCCCCCCCCCCCCCCCCCCCCCCCCCCCCCCCCCCCCCCCCCCCCCCCCCCCCCCCCCCCCCCCCCCCCCCCCCCCCCCCCCCCCCCCCCCCCCCCCCCCCCCCCCCCCCCCCCCCCCCCCCCCCCCCCCCCCCCCCCCCCCCCCCCCCCCCCCCCCCCCCCCCCCCCCCCCCCCCCCCCCCCCCCCCCCCCCCCCCCCCCCCCCCCCCCCCCCCCCCCCCCCCCCCCCCCCCCCCCCCCCCCCCCCCCCCCCCCCCCCCCCCCCCCCCCCCCCCCCCCCCCCCCCCCCCCCCCCCCCCCCCCCCCCCCCCCCCCCCCCCCCCCCCCCCCCCCCCCCCCCCCCCCCCCCCCCCCCCCCCCCCCCCCCCCCCCCCCCCCCCCCCCCCCCCCCCCCCCCCCCCCCCCCCCCCCCCCCCCCCCCCCCCCCCCCCCCCCCCCCCCCCCCCCCCCCCCCCCCCCCCCCCCCCCCCCCCCCCCCCCCCCCCCCCCCCCCCCCCCCCCCCCCCCCCCCCCCCCCCCCCCCCCACCCCCCCCCCCCCCCCCCCCCCCCCCCCCCCCCCCCCCCCCCCCCCCCCCCCCCCCCCCCCCCCCCCCCCCCCCCCCCCCCCCCCCCCCCCCCCCCCCCCCCCCCCCCCCCCCCCCCCCCCCCCCCCCACCCCCCCCCCCCCCCCCCCCCCCCCCCCCCCCCCCCCCCCCCCCCCCCCCCCCCCCCCCCCCCCCCCCCCCCCCCCCCCCCCCCCCCCCCCCCCCCCCCCCCCCCCCCCCCCCCCCCCCCCCCCCCCCCCCCCCCCCCCCCCCCCCCCCCCCCCCCCCCCCCCCCCCCCCCCCCCCCCCCCCCCCCCCCCCCCCCCCCCCCCCCCCCCCCCCCCCCCCCCCCCCCCCCCCCCCCCCCCCCCCCCCCCCCCCCCCCCCCCCCCCCCCCCCCCCCCCCCCCCCCCCCCCCCCCCCCCCCCCCCCCCCCCCCCCCCCCCCCCCCCCCCCCCCCCCCCCCCCCCCCCCCCCCCCCCCCCCCCCCCCCCCCCCCCCCCCCCCCCCCCCCCCCCCCCCCCCCCCCCCCCCCCCCCCCCCCCCCCCCCCCCCCCCCCCCCCCCCCCCCCCCCCCCCCCCCCCCCCCCCCCCCCCCCCCCCCCCCCCCCCCCCCCCCCCCCCCCCCCCCCCCCCCCCCCCCCCCCCCCCCCCCCCCCCCCCCCCCCCCCCCCCCCCCCCCCCCCCCCCCCCCCCCCCCCCCCCCCCCCCCCCCCCCCCCCCCCCCCCCCCCCCCCCCCCCCCCCCCCCCCCCCCCCCCCCCCCCCCCCCCCCCCCCCCCCCCCCCCCCCCCCCCCCCCCCCCCCCCCCCCCCCCCCCCCCCCCCCCCCCCCCCCCCCCCCCCCCCCCCCCCCCCCCCCCCCCCCCCCCCCCCCCCCCCCCCCCCCCCCCCCCCCCCCCCCCCCCCCCCCCCCCCCCCCCCCCCCCCCCCCCCCCCCCCCCCCCCCCCCCCCCCCCCCCCCCCCCCCCCCCCCCCCCCCCCCCCCCCCCCCCCCCCCCCCCCCCCCCCCCCCCCCCCCCCCCCCCCCCCCCCCCCCCCCCCCCCCCCCCCCCCCCCCCCCCCCCCCCCCCCCCCCCCCCCCCCCCCCCCCCCCCCCCCCCCCCCCCCCCCCCCCCCCCCCCCCCCCCCCCCCCCCCCCCCCCCCCCCCCCCCCCCCCCCCCCCCCCCCCCCCCCCCCCCCCCCCCCCCCCCCCCCCCCCCCCCCCCCCCCCCCCCCCCCCCCCCCCCCCCCCCCCCCCCCCCCCCCCCCCCCCCCCCCCCCCCCCCCCCCCCCCCCCCCCCCCCCCCCCCCCCCCCCCCCCCCCCCCCCCCCCCCCCCCCCCCCCCCCCCCCCCCCCCCCCCCCCCCCCCCCCCCCCCCCCCCCCCCCCCCCCCCCCCCCCCCCCCCCCCCCCCCCCCCCCCCCCCCCCCCCCCCCCCCCCCCCCCCCCCCCCCCCCCCCCCCCCCCCCCCCCCCCCCCCCCCCCCCCCCCCCCCCCCCCCCCCCCCCCCCCCCCCCCCCCCCCCCCCCCCCCCCCCCCCCCCCCCCCCCCCCCCCCCCCCCCCCCCCCCCCCCCCCCCCCCCCCCCCCCCCCCCCCCCCCCCCCCCCCCCCCCCCCCCCCCCCCCCCCCCCCCCCCCCCCCCCCCCCCCCCCCCCCCCCCCCCCCCCCCCCCCCCCCCCCCCCCCCCCCCCCCCCCCCCCCCCCCCCCCCCCCCCCCCCCCCCCCCCCCCCCCCCCCCCCCCCCCCCCCCCCCCCCCCCCCCCCCCCCCCCCCCCCCCCCCCCCCCCCCCCCCCCCCCCCCCCCCCCCCCCCCCCCCCCCCCCCCCCCCCCCCCCCCCCCCCCCCCCCCCCCCCCCCCCCCCCCCCCCCCCCCCCCCCCCCCCCCCCCCCCCCCCCCCCCCCCCCCCCCCCCCCCCCCCCCCCCCCCCCCCCCCCCCCCCCCCCCCCCCCCCCCCCCCCCCCCCCCCCCCCCCCCCCCCCCCCCCCCCCCCCCCCCCCCCCCCCCCCCCCCCCCCCCCCCCCCCCCCCCCCCCCCCCCCCCCCCCCCCCCCCCCCCCCCCCCCCCCCCCCCCCCCCCCCCCCCCCCCCCCCCCCCCCCCCCCCCCCCCCCCCCCCCCCCCCCCCCCCCCCCCCCCCCCCCCCCCCCCCCCCCCCCCCCCCCCCCCCCCCCCCCCCCCCCCCCCCCCCCCCCCCCCCCCCCCCCCCCCCCCCCCCCCCCCCCCCCCCCCCCCCCCCCCCCCCCCCCCCCCCCCCCCCCCCCCCCCCCCCCCCCCCCCCCCCCCCCCCCCCCCCCCCCCCCCCCCCCCCCCCCCCCCCCCCCCCCCCCCCCCGCACCGGCT